GCAAGAGCATCGCTACTAGTAACAAAGGGCATTACTACTAGTAGGCGGCTGCGGCGGCCCCGGCGGCGGCTGCGGTGGCCCCGGCGGCGGCTGCAGCTGCTCCGGCAGCGTCGCCTACGGTGACCGTGGCCCCAGCAGCGAGCACTGCACCAACTGCAGGAGTTGGACTAGCTTGTTGTTACTAGTAGTAAGTTTGCTACTAGTAGTAATGCCCTTTGTTACTAGTAGCGATGCCCTTGCTTCTAGTAGCTCCTTGTTACTAGTAGCGATGGCCTCCAACCTAATAGCGATGGCCTCCACCTAGTAGCTTCTAGCTACTGGACCGATGTTCAAATTATTGGAGAACATGGTTTGTGACTGCAGAGTTCATCGTACCGTGCACACAGATGGCCTGTTTTCCACCGGCTTCTAGTTTTGAAGATGTGCATGGTTCCTCCGGTTCTTTTTTCATACCTGGAAGACCAGGAACCTGGAATTGAAGACAGGGCCATCAGAGGTGAAGGATGAAGACATGGCCAGATGGAGCGTGCTCACCCTGAACACATGTCGGTGCCTCACAGACTCATATCCTCATGTCCGGTGTCCTTGAAAGAGCGCGGAGAAGCGTTTTTTCAATGCTGGCTGAGCTTATTTCCACTGGTACAATGCCCGCATCGCAGGGAACATGAAGACTCTGTAGTGATATAGTGACCATGGTTTGCCTTGCCAGCTGCCTCGTGATCCACCGCTCTGCACAGGAGCAACCTGAGCATTCGCCAAAGGCGAATGTGAATGGACCCGGGGTCTTTTTGGTGCTGGTGTAAGGCCCCCCAATACCAGCAAGAAGATGACATCCAATGAAAAACCTTTTGTTGAGCAACTGTCCAAACTCTACAAACATGGATGATCAAGAACCCATTGCCTGCCAAGGTCCTGGGCGATGCTAGAGAAGAACATGAAATCCTTGCATGAGAAAAGGATTCGATATTTTGCCCAAAGAACAGACCGATTGGGAACGATTTGAGACACGGTTGAAGAAGGGCTCCAAGTAAGAAACCCCGGGATTCTCACACATCGCGAGTAGCCGCCACGATGACCCGAGCACCACGGCATCACCGCCAGTTCGAAAGCAACTGGTGATGGGTTTCACAGCAATTTCGGGATCCTGAAGGAATCCTGGGTTCCAATCGAAAAAAGGCTGGACGCGAAGACGAGCTTTCGCGGCTGGGATGGACAGGAAGGAAGTTGCCAATCACAATGGAAGGGTGTGGCTCAGAGCGCTCAAAGGTTCTGGAGCATGTCATCGAAGGACCCATGGTAGGTGTTGGTGTCGGGCTACAGATGCAGGGTAAGCAGCCAGACTGTGTCTAAGATGTGAGCCATGAAAACTACTGTAGAGTCACAGAGAACTCCAAGTTGGGTCGGCAAATCGCAGCATGCTCCTTGGATTCTTCCACCATGTCACAAGTTCGACATTCTTTTGACTCTTATGGTTCAGCTTGTTTTTCGAGTTCTGGTGCAGATTTGAAGGAACGCTGCCGAGAAGCACCGCACGAACACCTCTTTGGAATTGGCCACATCCATCATGACGCAGTGTTCAAATGCATTTGAGACACAGAAAGAGATTGATCCTCAATCCTCAAGCAGCATGTAAACTGTATGTCATTTTAGTGCGCACAGCCGCCGCGATAAGAGGAACATACGCATACATATGCAAAGAATTGCAAAGATTTATGTTCTAAGATTTAACTATCTAAGAGGTCATGTGTGCGTTCTGCAGCCTCTAAGTATGTCTAGAATGCAATTACTTCTTCGAAGACTGTCACTATGCGTCTCACGGTGATGGGGGACCGCCCTGTGGCATGAGCAAGGCGAGGTCGGTCCCGGGCTGCACGACACCACCGGGTCGCGGGTGGGCCCCTAAGATGGGAGAAAGGTGGCCGAAAAAGGATGGGTTTCATCCATGCTCATCCCAAGCGTTTGGGCAGTTGGATGGCCCATAGATGGCCCTTTGGATCCCTAAAAGGCCCTTACATAAAGCTTCCTTTTGGGTTTCCACCTCCTCCCCACTGCCTGGGTCGAAGTGGAGTCAGTCCATGAGACTCGTCATGACCGCGCCGAGTCGGTACCCCCGGACCCTCCGAGATCCGAAACGTCGGTCGAACCACGACTCCGCAGGAGCTGCTGCCTGTCACGGCTGGGTCGCCGAGAGTGGAGGCGACGTTGGGTCTTTCGGCGACGCAGGGGGAGCCTTGGTCTTTCGCGATCCAAGTTCTGAACTCATCTGTCCAGGACTTTGCAAGTATGTACGGAGTTCTCGGTCTCAAGCCGTCGGGATGTGCAGCTTTCCTGGAAGCCTGCTTAACTCTCTAACTCAACTCGGCATGAACACTTGTGTAAGTGTTTGGTGACTTGGGTTTGCCATATCTCATGTCAGTTGCTTTCAGGTTTTACTGGTTGAGTGCTTGGGCTGGTGGCTTGCGTTGTGGTTGGTTTTGCTTTTCCCCACCCACTCACGACTGGGATCTTCGTGGTTCTGGGTACATTGGCTTTTGTGGGGCTTCCCTTGGTGGTGAACCTCCCTGGATGTTGCTTTGGGGCTGCGCAGGTTTTGGACATTTTGCCTTGCAGGTTTTTCCTTGTCAGGCATACCTGGCATACCTTTTGTCATCATTTGTCAGGGTTCTTCCACGCTGCTGCGCCGCTGCAAGGAATCGGAAAAGTAGAGTTAGTGGAGCTCATGGGCTCTTTGCCATTGTTGGGGCTGAACAGGCAGGGTTGCTGCTGGCCAGCAGCAACCCCACTTGTATTGATCAAGCCATTCAAGCTGCATCTATGCTGGGCTTGCAGTGTTTGCTTGCCAGTTGAGTTTGCAGAGGACTGGACCGATTCGAGGTCGACGGGATCCAGCTCCTTAAAACCGTATATCCATTGTGGAGATGATGTCCCCTGCTATCTAGTGGAGGTCCGACCCGAGTACCGAAGATCAGAACAAAGGTCATGTCGAAGAGATCGCTAGATTGCTAATACAGAAGGTTTTCTTATTGGTTGATCGGTTGAAATACACACTTGGGCTGGTCGGAGCTTGTGACAACTTTTGCCGTGGACTCGATGTTGGGAACAACACAGATATTGTTAGGAGCAAGAAGCTAGGAGCAAAGGGCATCGCTACGAACGGAGCAAGGACGCTACGAACGTAGCTCCTGGCCTTACTAGGAGCAAGAAGCTACTATAGGTTGCATCTACATCTCCTTCCCCCACGGCCATTTGGCTCACCTAGGCCAAAGGGCGTTCCTGTGCCTTGACGCTGAAAGCGGCCTTGGAAGATACCCAGCTTCGACCAGAGGTCGGGCACCTGAGAAACGCAGATGGCGAGTGCCGGTGGAAGGAGCTTCATGTATGAAGTTTCGTGGTTTTTTAGAGGCGAAGTGGCAGCCACCGCGTAGGTGCAGCGTCTTTCTTTCGGGGGCTACGACTGAATCACCTGTGTGAGCTTTCATTTGTTCGCAGATGATTGTCACCTTGTAAAGCTGTCGTGAAGGTAACGTAATGACAACCTGAACTGGCCGTCCAAAAACCGAAGTGCCTATGGCGTTCCTTTCATGTCTACCGGTCTCAAGGTGACACATGGAACAGAAAAGATGATCAGCGCAACTGGGACCCAGTTTTTCAACAAGCACAAACATCGGTCAACACTGTTTTGATGCTGAATATATATATATATATATACACAAAGATTGTTCAGTCCAGCGCACCTGCTCAACGCTCAATGATGTTCATCTAGGCGCCGTAAGAGTTTCACCCGGAAGGACAGCGCAGGACTTTGGGCTTCATGGGATGGAAGGTGTACTGCTTCTTGGAAGGTTGGTGGGCTACCCGACCTTGATGCGGGCACTTCGCCCAAACATTGCTTCTATTTTTTCACTTTACACCACCTACACTACTATCACAGTGACAGGCCCTGGTGGCCCTGGTCAATAGACTTCGAAAGATCTCCACTTTCGGTGTTTTCCTCTGGCCAGGTGGTGCACCTCGTCGGTTGCGGCGATGCCGAGAGGTCCATGGACTGGCAGGCGGGCGGGCGTCGGCGTCGGCGTCGGCGTCACGGGCGGGCGGGCCTGAAGTGGAGCCGAACGCGTGGAGGCTTCTTAATTCAAGAATTTTATGTTTTCTTTATTTTTTAGTTTTATTTTCGGGTGTTTGGAACGGATTTCATGGTGATCACGGTGATCACGGTGATGGTCTGAGTTCTCGTGGTGGGCCACTCTTTCTTAGTACAATCTTGTCTAAACTGTGAGAGTACTTGCAACCGCTGTTGATCTTGTATGATGTGCGTGGTACGTGATCCCCTGACGGTTCCACTGGGCGACCGACTCGGCCAGGTGCTGAGCGATGCGTTGCCGTCCAAAGCACGGGTGGTCTTAGCGCCTGGGCGGAAGAAACCGACGACGACGGTGCTGCCGGTGTGATCCGGTTGGTGTGCCTTTTTGGGGGCTGTATTTTCGGAAATAATCAGCTCAGCATCAAGACTGAAGAATCCTCAGATGAACACAAAAGATCACAGTGATGGATCAAGGATGCAGAGCTTCCTCTGGCTAGTCCGTTCCTGCTCAGCTTCTCTGAGGCATGTTTGAAGGGCACCTGAGACCACCACTCCCCAAACACCTGAATCCATTTCCCTTTTTCAGACTGGGCACCGGACTTCCGGTCGATTCACGACTCGGACATGGACTTGGGGGCACTCACCAAACCTGGAGCGACTTGCCTAAAGTGTGAAGGTTCCCACAAATCAGATCCTGATTGTGAAGAAATCATTGCCAATGGGGATCCGTTTTGGCCTGTCTTCCCAAGAAATTGCTTCAGACGTCACCCCCATCAGTCCACCTGCTGCCGGAGCGTGGGAGAGCTCGCGCGTGTTTGCTCAGGTCGGCCCGCATGGCTTGGGCGCTGCTGCAGCGCCCAAGGAGGCCAGCCAGAGCGCGGCCGATGTTTCTGGGTCGATCGTAGAAAGAATTCTCCTGTGAATGGTACAGATGAATAAGGTAACCCCCCCAGACCATGGATTGAACAATCTCTTCTATCTCCCTCGTTTCGATGTCCGCCGCTGTTGCCCCTATTGGGCGGTCATGAAACGCCACCGTGGACACGCAGGGTCCACCGGCAGCAAAAGAAAGCACGTGAGGCGACCGACAACCAACATGAGAATCCATCAAAGCGGAAATTCCCACGTAGAAAGGTGTTTTGAACAGCCTTGGTTGCACAAAGAAGCAAATTCATGAAGTTCATCTGGTGCGAATCGAGCACCGACGATGGCCCCTTGTGGAAGGGCTTTCCCTTCAGTCTTGAGTCTAACGTTGTCAGTGAAGCCGGGGAAAATACCGTGGTTCGGCAACTTGTTAATGAATACAAGGGTCCTGGGAAGCCAAAACGTCAAGTCTCGAAACGTTTTGTCACTTGCAGAGCATGCACGGAGGATAAAACCTCTTTTCCAGAATAAAAAAGCAAATTCAACGTAAGACGTGCAAAGTTCATCTGACACACGCCATTGGAGCGAAGTTGTGAAATCGAAGAATGTATTCAAGTCAACCGGATCGAGCTTGGAAAGCCAACCTTGTGGGTGTTCAATCCGGAAAGTGGAGGTCCACTTGAATAGTGAGGGGTTTTGAATCCAATCCCACCTGGGAAAACGTTTACGAAGATCAACTGGAGCATGAAATTCCGCTGGAGCATCTGTGGCTGGGGCAGCTTCATGGCTCACATCGAGCCCAATTGTACGGTTCCATCTTGCAAGAAAAATCTGCCTGTGGAACACATGCTTTTGTACTTTCTTAAAGTCGTCAGGGAGAACTGGAGCATGTTTCAGGGCGGTCTCCTTTGCAATCTTGTCTGCAATCCGATTGAGGATAATATCGAGCCTGGTAGTATTGTGGTCATTGGCGAACTGGTCAGTAATGAGCGCATCATCCACATCATCAACAACATGGGCTGGGATCCACACAAGTTGACCTGGTTGAGGATGAAGTTGTTGCCTCTGCTCAATAACTGACCAAATGGCCTGCCACCAATAGGGGTGGCACAAAGCACCTTTTGGCCCTTGATGGCATAAAAGGTGTTGGAACTGGTCAACGACGGTCTTGCAATCTGTATGTACAACAATAGCTGTATCCGACAGGATCATTGCTTTGTAGATTGCAAATAATTCTGCTGAATACGATGATAGCTTCGGGGATTGTACTGGACCTGTATCAACCTATATTACCTATATCAACTGTATCAACCTATAACAATCTCTTCATATATTACAGACCTGGGAATTGAAACGTGATCAAGAGTCTACATTATGGCATGGCCCGTTCAAGAAGCGAAAGACCCCATGTTTGTGAGGATGGATATGGCTGCAGAGTTCATGACTGCTCTTCACAGAGCTGAACTTTTATTCCGGTTGTTGTGGTTGCGCTGTCTTCCTGACTGGGGAGCAGGTCCTAGCATTCCCCAATGGAACTGCAGGCAGTTCCAGAGCACAACATATTTATATAACCTGGGTTTCCAGACGCAGTCCGGTTGAGGTAAAACTGCTTGTACAATCTTGTAAATGACATGAACGTATCATCAGGCTCGAGATGCTCGAGTTTTCACCTGCTGATCACTTGGCTCCTCTTCGGTGGCAATGTTTTGCCGCATGGCTCACACAATCAATTCGCTGCTTGGCCGTGACCCTATGATGTGTCAATGATGTCCTTCCGAACAAACAGTTTCGAAGATGCACATCCTGGCACCTGCTCCGTGTCTACATACCCGAAGCAGATACCCTAACCCAGGTATGAAGGAGCATGCTTTACACCGACGAATTTTGCATTGCATAGTAATGGTATGCTTGTCTAGAGAAGGCAAGTTCAAGAGATTTACTCAGCAGTTGAACTTCTACTTCCCGTCACCCCTGGGCACTGCCGCTTTCTGTCGCTCCAAGTGTTTTGGGGCAGGTGGATGCCATGGCACCAAAACCTTAGCTCCCAGAGCGCTTTTCTGTTCTGCCGCCACGAGGGGCGACAGTGCCCGTCCATTCCGGAGGTTTGATCTTCTTCTTCCCCCCCTGCCATTTTGTTTGCCCTTCATTGGTGGCAGGCGGTTCGCGACTACGACACAGTGCTGCTGCTGTTGCCGCTGCTATTGCCGCTTCTTTCTTCGGTTTCCGTGTCTTCTTTCTCATTTCTCTTCTAGCCAGGTGTGCGCCCTGACTGCCCCTCTTGCTTGCAAACGCTTGCTTACAAGGGCTGGGTGGTCCAGCAACTCACAGGACCAAGCCTTCCATTCCCTTTTGGTGCCCTTTCTCTTTTGTCTTCTTTCTTTGGTGTCAACTGGCGGCCTCTCTTAACTACAGCGGCGGGGTGTTCATGCACACAGCTGGTGAAGTGTCTCCGGCTTGGTTCCGTCGTGTTTCTCTTTTGATTTCCGTCGTGGCCGCCTCTCGTTCTGCACGAAAAGGGCTTTTCTCGATCTTGCCCTTCCACACACTGGGGTGCTAGAGGGAAGACACGTGCAAACAAACCACACATCAAGATAAATTACCAGCTTAAGACACGGTATGGACTGTGAATTTAAGATCTAATTCAAGTGCCGAGCTCGTTTTCGGTTAACGGCCTTTGCAAGCGAATGATTGTTCGATCTTTTGGCAGACATTTTTTCAACATGTACGCATCTAATCTCTGGGTCAAAAAATAAACGGATAGGCCTGGTTTGGCAGCGAGGAGTAATCGGAGAGGATTTGCATGGCATCATGGCGAGCGCAGCATGAGGGAGTGTAGGGCGCGATGAGATGCCGCCAACGACAGCTACGATGAAAGCCCGAGTCGTCTCGAAGAGGCCCCTTAGCATCATATACAAGGCGATGGAAAAGGTGGGTGGTCTACTTATAACTTCTACCTTTGTCAGCTCATTTGCCTTTATATAGCTGTTCTGGCCCTCCAAGCGGGTCACCACAGTTGTCCAGTGCGCATGGGTGGCGCGCACCTGTCAGGAGCTGCTGGGCCCTTACTCCTGCTGCGACCTGGAAGTGCCGGGGCGCCAGAGGTTTCTGGTTCCAGAGGTTCTCACATCGGAGATGTTCCCGAGCAATGCCGCGCCAAATCCTGGTGAATTGGGCGTGTCCGAGTTCTCCGAGCGTGGTGACGTCGAGAACAGATCCACGTTCGAACGGTTTCAGCTACGCTGCTACGTCACAATGGGTCGTCCAGGTGTGTCTTTCCGCACACCTACCAGCGTTTCATGATCCAGGACGGGGCAATCCGAGGAAGTAAAGAAGAGCCACAAGAGGGCTGTTGAAATGACGACGAGTACCCTCCCTCTTCCAATCCTTGGAAACTGAATATGATCCCTGGAGGCTGCAGGAAAACCTGCATAAACAGTTGTTTCTCCCAAGACGGCACAAAGAGATGCTGATGGAGATCCAAATGAAGATTCTCCAGCCAGCTGCTTTGGCAAAGGACCAAACCCTGGAAATGCTGGGAATAAGCACGTGTTGCAAGCGAAAGCATCAAGTTGCCTGCCTATAGTTTGTTCACTATTCTACTCTCTCAGTCATGGAAGTAGACCTGATCAGCCGCGCATCAATGTCCCATGTCAGTGTATGACTTGCGATTGTCCATTCTTGATCCATGTTTATGTACTTTTGGAGACCGGTCTCCAGCAATGTACACATCTCAAAATGCATGCACATTTTTGGTTCGTTTCTGCGCACATTGGCTGGTTCGTACCCTTCAGCCTTCTGCAGGAGTTTGAGCCACCTCAACTGGTGGTGCTTTTTCATCCAGGCCATGATGACAGGTGATTACAGGTGAAGGAGCTCGCGAGTCTTTGTGGTCCTTTGAGCACTTTTTGGGTACCAGAGGGCGATTTCTGCTGAAAATCATCGTGACATGTGGGTGAAACTGCGAGAATGAAAAGAGAAGGAGAGTGCTGTCACTGGTTTCTCAGGAAACATCTACCACCTGTCTGCTCCCTACTGCCCCTGGCAGTGAAGAGTCTTTTATTCAACCAGACACTGACTGGTCCTTTCATCCGCACCCATCGACCGCACATCGTGAGGTCTGGATGTCCATTACTTCACCTGGTACCCGTGCATCAGGCGGCGCCGGGTCTCGACCGTCTCGGTCCGTCTCGGTCCGTTCAGACGGATCTCGACGTCTCGTCGGATCTGCCGAGGCAGTGGACGGAGCAGAAGATCCCCCTGCTGATCACAGCCTACCGAGTTCCGGGAGGAGCGGAGCGGCGGCATATCGCGCTGTGCAGGGCGGGGCGGTGCGGTGAGCGGGGCGCACAGGTGAGCGATCGGATCGTGCCAACTGCAGTGCCAAGAGGTGCCATCTCGTTTGACTCATCTGACTGTTTGAACTGCAATGAAAATGGATGTAATTGATGTAACTGATGTATACTGTATACTGTTGTAACCAATCAAAGGTGGAAGGTAATTCGTCTACGTTGCCTATGATGAGTGTAGCCAGTATATTAGTGAATAGTGTTATCAAATTGAAGTGTGGTGAACATTCCTTGCAGAGTAAGTCTCTAAGTAGATGATAGAATCAGCGAATCTTCTGCACCATGGAGGTGACGGCCGGAGTCGTGTTCGTGTGATGGTGTCTTTTTGTTGGACCATGTTCAGGGATTTTATCGCTTTCCATTTTGCAACCCATTTTTCCACGCGCCAGCCTCCTGTTTTGGCCAACCCCAGTGAAAAACGGCACTATGGAGACACTGCGCATCGCAGTGCCATCCAATCACGCGCAGGCCTGGGAGAGACACCACAAACAGCCTGGGACCTTGAGAGCGGCCTGTCTGGGAGACAGAAGACCACCCAAGATGCTGCTACCAGCCCTCTTTGTATATACTGTAACAGGACTTTGGACCATACGATGCTGATAAGCACTCAATTACTGTTCCTTTTACGGGCTTTCTGATCAGCAAGGCGGCCATTTTATGTATTTCATTTTTTTGCGCAGCTAGCGATTCTTTCTGACAACTTTTGGCCGGGGCTGACAACTGTCCAAGATAAACTTGACCTTTTTGTCGATTTGATTGTGTTCGAGCTGTCTTGTTGGCACTGGTTTGGTGTCCGACTCACTTCAACACCGTGGACTCCTATCGACGGTCGAGCACCGCCGTGTTTGGCCGTGCGAAAGTCTGGCCGTGCCGTGCGTTGAAGGTCCGGACTTTCCTGGAATGCCTGGTGGGGACTGGAGGTGGACAAGGCCTATGGGTGCTTGAGGAGAGGATTGGTGACTTGTGCAGTGTCCAAACCTTGGGACGATTTTGAAGGACTTGTTTTGGCCTGGAGCCAGAAGCACTTCAAACTTGAGGCCCTAGGTTGGTTGCGACGGCCTTTTCGCGAGGAGGAGAACCCTCATGTCGCTGAAAACGGCTCTTTCAATGCAGGACCGCGGGGGAACTGCGGAGGAGGGTGGTTCCCGAATAATGTCCTGGTTAATGCATATCTTAAGTTAATGTCAACGCCCTTGGGGCCCTAGGTCTTCCGTTCTTTTTCTTCACATATCCTTCTTTTGTCTTTCTTCCATGTCATCAACATAGTCCAAGTCAGTGATCCATGACTTGACTGCTTCTACGCTATGAACTTGAGAATGGCCTCTACACCAGATGTTCACAGCTCAGTCCGGCTTCGCTGCTTGGGTACTGCGACCCTCCGGCAGAAGCAGATCTTCCGATGGTCCAACTGATAGACAACTGCTTCAGCATCTTTGGGCGATGGGCAAGAGCCCTTCAATATCTTCCACCCCAAAGCTGTGAAGGAAGAGGAGGCCCTGAAGGTCAAAGCCCTTTTGAGGGATGTTGCCGATGTTGCCTGATCCTGCTCCGATGCTGGGCAAGGGACTAATTAGCACGCTTCACCTCAAGACACGACGGGCAAAATCGGATTCTTCAGCCCGTTTTTTCCCAGGGCGTTGTTTTCAGTCTTTGCCTGTCTTCCTCACAAGAGTGTCAGACCAAAATCATTCAACATCTATGCAAACCATTTTTCCTTCCTTCCTTCCTTCCTTCCTTCCTTCGACAGATGGCGTTGGACGTGCCAGGATACTTTGTCAGCCTGGGATCTCAAGGGGCACTTCCTATTCAGGCAGAGGACTGGCTTTGATCCGGAGAGCTTTTTTCACACGCTTCCCATCCGGCGCTCGCGGGTGACCATCCGAGTATAGATTGATGTAGCGATGCCCAGCCCGCCGAGAAGGTCTGAGCAGCGTGCATCGCTTTGGCATCGCTTTCGGCACAGCGAAAAAGAACATGATCTCTTCCCATGACAGTAGTGAAAGCTGGAGGAGATGTATTGGCCGCTCTTCCAAGCTTTGGGGAAGATCGGGCACCCCTTTGCTCCTCGTGTAGGTGCATGTCCTGGGGACGGCGGCTGGGATGTCGTGGGGAGGAAGCAGCCTTGGCATGGAGGAGTTTGAGAGAGTTGCGGGGGTAACCCAAGGTGTCATCAATGTTCCTCAATGCTCCTAGATTGGGACTGCTTTTTGCATGATGCCAAAAAAGAAAGAACCTGTTTGTTGGAAAATGATATCTGCTGCTGGGGTGCTGATCACTATTCCCTTGGACCCTAAGCCGCTGGCTTTGTGAAGTCCCACGGTAGGACTTATATAAATGTTTTGACCGAGAAGGAAGACTTGTTTTGGTCAATTAATGGTTCATGACTACCTTTGAACCGCTGGTGGGCAGATGTACTCGAATCCACGTTGGCAAGAGATCACTCAAAGCCTTGAAGCCCCACAGTATCCCGTACTTGGACCGCCTTTGCTTTGAACATGTTGTTTTTATTCTTTTTGCATCTATATACATAATGGCACCATGAAGAAGATTGCATCTACATATCGTGCTCGTTTCAAACAGATCATAAAAGTGACTTACAGCTGCTTACAGCCTTATTTTTTTTGGATTAATATATATAAAATGCTTTTCACTCCTGTCTTGGACAAGACTCTCCCAAGTGATCCTGCCCTTTTGGGAAGCCAGGCTACCTTGATCTGGATGACGGCAAGGTGCGCCGCGGCAAAGCCTCACACATACATACAGAAGCTATTTGGAGGGGTTGTATGGGGTGTAAAGATGATGTCATTCACTCATTGTAGTAAAAAACAAACATTACTACTAGTAACAAGAAGCCCAAGAAGCTTCTAGTAGCAGGTGCATCGCTAATTACTAGTAACAAGTGCATTGCTACGGGCATAGCAAGAAGCTACTTGTAGTACCTGTTGCACTTCGCCACGTGAGCAGCTCATTTCTGATGATTTGCCTGATTTGGGGTGACCATCGGGTTGTGCCCGGCCAGGTGTCTCCGGAGAATTGGTTCCTTGGCTGAATCTTTTCCATTTACCAAACGAGCCGACGAATTGAATTAGAACGAATGGAGCGATTCAAATCTACACTCCAGAAGGGTCCTGCCAATGGCAGGACCTTTCTGGATTGTTGAGATTGAACCGTTCAATTCAATGTGCAGTCTTTCAATTCAACAGTGGATTCCGGCGAGTTCTGAGGAAGGCGACCCTTTGAAATGGGAGGTCAAGAATCCGAATCCGCACGCCCTCGTCCCATTTTCGGTCCCAGCACCTCAGCACCTCCCATCCAAGCGATCCATCGAGGAATCTGTTGTCCTCAATTGCGGAGGTGCCCCCTGCGGCGCTCCCCGTGTTGGGGGGGCAAGCCTTCTGGAACCAGCGAGGGTCCCCACCAAGGAAAAGGCACAGCAGCAAAGGCATACATTTGGCAATTCCGTTGGAGAAACCATGGGGTGTGAATTAGAATAAGGGGAGATCTGAGATCTTTTCAGCCCGTGGGGAGAGTGACTTTTTGGTCATTGGGTGGGGATCTCCTTACTGTATTTTGTTCATCACATCTTTTTTTGCACTCTGACCATGCAGCCTTTGTGAGACCTCTTTGCATGGATATACCCAGATTCTTGACAGGGACAGCTTCAACGAATGTTCGCCTGAAGAGGTGGAGAATGCCATGGGCTCTAGAGCCTTCATCCATCAGATTTTGCATAAAGAAAGAGGGTCTTTTTATATCTTTTTAATATCTGTCTTTTCAAACGTTTGCCACATCTTCCCCGCGCTGTTCTTTCTTGGTAGGACCCTTTCACCACAGAATGCTCTGGTCCCTGGCGGCTCAAGACCCAAATTGGGCCCCCGGTGAGCGACGGAGCGCTCGGCTCTGACTGAGCGCGTCAACTCGCGGTGCGAGCCGGGCAGTTCGGGGCTGAGAGGAAGAGGGCTTTGATGGACAGAACTACATCTGTGATGATCAGGAACAGACCCCGGCATGGATGGTAGGATCTCACTTTGACGCGGTGCCTAGCTGCCTGCGATTTTACAAACAACCAGACACATCACGAAAGCCAGCACCAGCTAGCTGGAGTTGTCCTTGCTTTAGCAAGTGAGGGGCTGGAATCCTCGAGATCGCCGCATCACGTGAAAACTTCATATGTAGCTGGGACACCTCTCGACCTCTTATGGCATCCACTTTGGTTTAACTCCTCCGGGATACGGTGCAACAGATTCAACAAGCTCACAGGTTCGTAAACACATCGGATGCATCGAATAGTGTGGCAAAGTCCAGCCACGCTTCCTTAATTATCGGGGACTTCAATTCTAAGGTTGGCTGTGTCATTGCTGTTTGTGTGTCTTACATGTTCACAACGTTTTACCTCATGAGCATTTGCCTCAATCCGCTTGATGTCCCACCAGTCCGGATGCACACCTGCTAGCTTTCGTCACCTACCCTCGGCCTCAAGTTTCTATGTGTCCAGGGAGTGGTTTTTGCAGAGTGCCACCCAACATGATCGAATTGTGTGCAGCAGGAGCATGATCGAATTGGTGGACCAACTTGGCATGCTGTTCTGCGCATATTGTGCATGGATTTGTAAGCAGCCACAGCCGGGTCTGAGTAGGGATCGAAGCCTGCATGCTCCCAGACACTGCCCAGACACCAGATAGGGGTCTCTGGAGCTGTGCGAGTTCCATGGATCAGTGACTGCCAACGATCCATGAACTCCAACGCAGCCCCTGGACATACGCCCAGGGGCTGCGACCATGTCCAGCCTCCGGCGTGCCTGGGTGCGCCTGGGTCCTCAGAGAGCACAACTTCAGAACAGGTCGCTCGGTCGCCCAACGCAGCTTTTCTACGACGGCGGCTAGGCATTTAATACCTTGGTTCACTGATTTGTTCACTTCGTTTTTCTCTATCCAAAAAGTGAGGTCATGGCACTACTTTTGTTCTGTGTCGTTTTTGAGTCAGTCCTTTTCACGAAAGCTAGCGAAGCTAGCTGGAGTTACTCTTGCGATAGCAAGGTTTCTTTCGACCGGGTGCAAATCCTAACCCCTGATTTTTCAGGTCGAAGACCCCCCCCCACCCCCCCCC